TGCCACTGCATGCCCTATCACTGCTGCATGCTCTGCTGCATCTGCCACTAGCAGAGAGGTGCTGCCACCATTGGTGCCTATTTCAGGCAAGATTGCGCTGATCTTTTGTGATTGGGGTGAGATCTTGCCCAAGATTGGTGCCAATGGTGGTGGTGCTTCTTCGCCACTGGAGGAGGTGACGTGGCTGGCAGGGCACCCACAGGCATGCCGCCTACCAGGGATCCACCGCCTGAGGCAGTGGCCTCACCCTGCCTAATGCCTAGGCCAGCTCTGCTAGTAGCCGTTGATGCAAATGTTTAATCACAGCCCTGGGCATATAATTTGTGAACTGCAACCATACAACAATTCCTTACAGGGTCCTGTCTATAGCCATTCTGTTACTAAACTATCATGAGCCATCACTATGGGGTAGGCTGATATACATACACAAAAAGGACACTTATTTTTGTCACAGCATCGAAGCTTCTCTAATTTGCAACCTCATTTATCTTCCTGACGCCACAAACCTAGTTGAGGTCCGTCATGCCCAATTTACCCCTGAAAAATGGGAACATGCAGAGGGTGAAAGACTTGCCACACAAAAAACTAGCCATATACCTCTCCTCTTCCACCACCGCATTTTTTTCAGAAGTAGCAACAAATAACTCAAAGTAGGATTGGCTTCCTCGGTGTTCTCATTTAATCTAAGTTTAAAGCTTCTCATCTTGAGATCAGGTCAGCCATTTTGTTTTTATCTAAACTTAAAGCCAGCAGAGAAAAGTCTGGTGATTTTCAAATCAACGTGCAAACTTCTGCCCTTTCAACTGTTCAGTTCTATGATCTTTCTATCTGGTGAAGCTTCTTACAAAACATTTACTATATATAATTGCATACCACTATATCATGAAAAGGAACACACCCTTTGCTGGCCCTGCTGGCCCAAACAATTTTGCCTAACTGGAATGTATCCTTGAGTTCCGGTGATTTAATTTCATTTATTTCACAAAACATATACACCACTTGTCACAAAACCTCAAAGCAGTCTACAAAAATAATGGTTCTATCTTGTCAGGATGGGGTATAAAAAGGGGTGTGCGAGGATGTGTAGAAACCAGCTTACTGTACAAAAGTGAAGTTTAAATCTGCGTCCCACTTTCCTTTGCCTCTTGCTCCACCCTAGCATGTAGCGCTAGGAAGTAATACACCACTTGGGCTGGAACATCATATGACTGTACACTTGAAGAATGCAATGTGTGAACACTCCTAAAAAGTGCAATCTAGCTGTTGCTGGTTTGGTAGGCCTCTGTTTCCCGATGCATTTCAGGACCATGTGAGAGAGAATTAAAACTGACAAACGTAGGACTGAGTTCAGATGCAGTGGGGGCAAGGAGGTGGTTTAAATGGATTATAATTAAAACTTAGCTGGAAGACAACATCTGCTGAGACCCTCGCACTCATATATTTCTTTTCCATCAAGAAATTAATTTGGAGATCAAAAGGAAACCATTTAACAACAGAAAGTAAATAGGGTCGGGTCGGATGGGAAAGCGATGGAAAATCTTGCAGCCCCCAGGACTTGAGCATGCCGGGAAGAGGATTAATATTTCTGACAGATATTTTTCACAAGCCATGGGGAACTTTCTTTGCAACATTAGAAAGCATTGAAAAGCACTTCCTGATTTGACTCTGAAAGGGGTAATGTTTTAAAGAGAGATGGACACACTTGCTCATTCGCCCGCACACACATATATACCCACACGAACTGAGCACCAGCACAAATCTATTAATCTTCTTCCTTCTTCTACAGGCTGGAACTAAAACAATGTTTGATTCTCTTTGGTGAGCTCTTGAGGCCAAATCAAATAAGGAGCAAAAAGAAAGCCTTTAACACCCGATACACTTTATAACACACAAAAAAGGGATGTCCAGAAAAAGGTTGAAGGGGGTGGCAGAGTGCAGGAAAGACAAGTGTTCATTCTCAGTTCCAGAACAGACTAAAAACTGTGTGTGCTCGCACCTGGGAACCCTTTCTGTTTCAGGTATGAGAACTTTCCAGAGTTCCCAAAAACTTCTGGTGCCCTGTGCTGCAGCCATTTCGAAACCACTTGAGCTGCAGGTACATTTTATTCATAGAAAACAGAATCAGCGAACTGTGGGGCTGGGAGGGTCATCTAGTATAGCCCCCTACAATGCAGGAATCACAGCTAAATAATTTCTGAGAAACATCCATCCAACCTCGGCTTAAAAGCCTCTGGTGGAGGAGAGGCCACCACCTTCCAAGGTAGCCACTGTCAAACAACTCTTCCTGTCAGAAGGTTATTCCCACTGTTTCCCACTGGCTTGAGCCAGGGTGAAGCGACAGCGACATCACATTTATAACATGCCTTTCCTTCAGGTGTTGCAATGTAGCATAGAGCAAAAGTATGCAATCGCTGGGCAAAGTGGCAGAGTGTTGCTGTAATAGTTTGACTTGGACCATGGCACCTCATTTTGGACCCCCACTCAGATATGAATCTTCCTACATCAAAGCAAGATCTCTGGGAGGATGGGCAGGATGTAAACGTGCAAAATTAGAAGAAGAAGAAGGGGGGGGAATCACTGCAGGTATAAATGTAATAAGTCACAGCGAATATCATTACCACTGGATAGACTAAAAGCATTCATTCCCAGCCTGTTTCAAAGTCAATAAATTGATGCTTGAGAATGATAGCACTCACTGATTGGGTTCTAGTATTCCAAGGTGGTGGCAGAGATGTGGGAGGAAGCAGGGAGTGATTTGATTGATTGGAGAGAAGCAAAGCAGACACTCCAAAGCTCCTCTCAGGCTCATAAATCACATTTGCCTCAATGGGATTTATGATGCACTTGCCGATGGCTTCAAGAATGCTCTGCAGGCAACAAGATGCAAATTATCTCATTGGGAGTAATCCCATTGACTTCAAAGTCACTACTCCAGAGTAAAGACTAAAAAAAAAAAAAAGATTTCCACCGCCTGCCAGTTCCACCCACCAACTTGGAGTAATTGCATTTATTGAGGCAGTTTAGATAACTTTCCATTCCTGGGTCGATTTGCTCACTCTGTTCTTCCTGTTGTTTTAAAACTGACTTTCACTGTGACACTTTAGCCTGCCTTGGCAGGAATGCAAATGACCATTTCCCAAGAGTGAATGGTGAGATGCAACTACACCAGCGGTCAGCTGCCTATGGTAGGGGAAGGAACCTGTAACCTTCCAGCTGCTGTTGAACTACAAGTCCAATCAGTCCTAGGCAGCATAGCTAGTGGTGAGGAATGATGGGAGTTGTAGCTCAAAAGCATGTAGCTACCCCTGGCTCGCAGCACATATAGATCTGCATTCTGAGACAGAGGCAAACAAACTGGGGTGGAGGGAAGGAACCCTTAGGGTGAGAGATGGCTGCTACAAATGAGACTCCCTAGTTTCACCAATAGCAGGTAAGAATGACTCCTCTCTAAGAAAAATGGGGAAAGGAAGATTAACAGACTATGAATAAGTGCAGCTATACTTAGCCATTGTTTTTAATGGAAGAATGTGTCCTTGAAATGTGTGGAATATGTTCTTGGATTCTTTGTCTACCTTGCCTGGATTGGAAGAGAGAGATGAATGTGTGTGTGGTCTCCTGTACTACGCTAACATTTACATTTGTTGCTCCTCCTACACTTGCCTAAAGCCTCACCCACCACTGGCCTGTGGCCCTTTGAAGGTTTCCCAGAAGGGAATTTCTGTACCTTTGACTAAGGCAGGTTGGAAAAGGGTCATAGCTCAGTGATAGAACACAGGCATTCCATGAATGTCTCAGGCTTGGTCCCCACCGTCAACAGGTAGGTAGGGTTAGTTAAAACTAAGAATATCAGAAATGTCCTGATGGATCAAGCAAATGGCCCATCTAACTCCAGCATCCTGTTCTCACAGTGGCCATCCAGATGCCCCACTGGGAAACCCATAAGCAGGACCTAAGCACAAGAGCACTCTCCTATGGTTTCCAGCAACTGGTATTCAGAAGCCTTGATGCCTCCAATTGTGGAGGCAGACCATAACCATCATGGCTAGTAGCCTGAGGTCCTGCTCCTAGTTAGTGTGGACAATACTGAGGTAGACAGGCTAACAATTTGATTTCCTATAAGACAGCCTCCCCATTTTGATGGAAGACCTATGAATAAAATCAGAACCATTCTGTTTTATGGAAAGAAATCTAGGAAGTGGCAAGTTTCCATCTGACCTACGAAACCATGCTAATTTCCATCATTTTACTCGGAAAACAGCATCTCCCAAGGGCATCTTTTAGTAGCAAATATACTTTCATCATAAAAGCAAATGCTGGATTTCAACATCTGCCAAGTTATCAATGTTTGTTGGCTCACTGAGCAGGTCGCTGTTTAGGGGCGAAAGGAGGCCTCTTCCTTTTACGAATGTAATTTACATTTCCCGCTATGCTCTTTCGTACTCGATATGCTGGTAGCCTGAACGATGCCATTGCATGGGGTGAATTAATGAGAGAGAAAGCCTCATCGGGGCCTTTAGTTCTAGTAGGGCAGTGATGTTCAGAAAGGCCAAATTGGAGGGTGGTTGACACCTCTGTTGTCATTCTTTTGACATATTGAAAGTTCAGCAAGGCATTAAATCAAGGGAAGTTCAGACTCACATAGTTACAACTGCAACTTTAGCCCAATTCACAAATCGGTGGAGGCATCAAGCTCACACAAACTCTCTCCCCGTTCCTGAACTTCATGCATTCAGCTGAAGGTAAGACTAGAGCAGAGGTGGGGAATCTCAGGCCTTGGGGCCAAATGTGGTCCTCTAGGCTGCTCTCTCTGGCCCCCAGGCTAGATCACCTCCTCAAACCACACTCCTCAAGTCACTGCTCTAGGTTTTTTGTTTGTTGGTTTTGCCTCATGAACATTGGCTTTCACTGAGTGAGACCATTGGTCCATCCAGCTCACATGATCTACACTGAATGGCAGTGGCTCTCCAGGATTTCAGGTAGGAATCTCTCCCAGCCCTACCTGAAGATGCTGGGGAATTGAACCTGGGACCTTCTACATGCAAGGCAAGAGCTCTGCCACTGAGCTATGGCCATTCCCCTGGCATCAACATGCCCATGAACAGTAACAATGCTTGTTTGAATGGAGAAACTGCTGGTGTGTGTGTGGCTGCACAGGACCGTACAAAGATAACAATCAGATTCATTGCCTCACCCACCACTAGCATGTGACCCCCTCCCTCTGAAAAGAGGCCTGCTAGGGAATGCAGCTTTCAGGATGAAAATGTCCACTCCACCCTTAGAAGATAGCCTGTGCACCTGCACGATCTAACTCCAGAGGATTTCTTAAGGCAACCAGATGTTCTGTTGTCCTACCAATGCTCATTCTCCAAACTGCCTCCTTACCTACAAATTGCAAAAGGTTGCACTGCGGTTGGAAATGTATAAGTGGCCACACTATTGAGGAACCCCCAAACTCACTTTAAATATTGCAGTTGTGTTATTAAAGTAATTCTGCAATAGAGAAACAACTTGGTATACCAGCCTTCCATTATTCATTCTTACTTTAAAAAAAGGTTTCTTTCTTTCTTTCTTTCTTTCTTTCTTTCTTTCTTTCTTTCTTTCTTTTAAAAAAGGTATATTTCTTGCTTTTCTCACATATCAGAAGCAGTGCTGCAATAATATCCTGATCTAAGCGGATTGCGCTGAGCACCACACCTATTAAGATGGACATGCTCTGGGGCCAGGACATGTTCCACCATGACCAGATTCCCACCTTGACATTTAAAACAAGGATAGCAATAGTGGTGATTTGCTGTAATAATAATAATGACTCTGATAATTGCAATAGTAGTAATTCATGGTCATAGCCATCAACACAATTAGTTAGTGTTGCTCATCACTGCTCTTATTAATTACTAGCAGAGATGTCCTCAAGGCAAAATACTTTCCATCCAATTTGCAATTTCGATGTGTCTGAGAACAGGCATAGAAAAGAGAGGTTATTCATCTAGAAGTGTAAATTTGATATTAGTTGATCTTGACTTGAGCAGTAGAAGAAGTCTGCAAAAATTAAGAGCTGACAAATATCTTATAGACTGAATCAATCCAAGTACAGTGTCTAGATCAAGGAAAGTAATAGTACCACTCTATTCTGCTTTGGTCAGACCACACCTGGAGTCCTGTGTCCAGTTCTGGGCACAACCGTTTATGAAGGATATTGACAAGCCGGAACATGTGCAGAGTAGGGCAACCAAGATGATCAAGGGTCTGGAAACCAAGCCTTATGAGGAATGGTTGAAGGAGCTGGACATGTTTAGCCTGGATAAGAGGAGACTGAGAGGCGATATGAGAGCCTTCTTCAAAGGCAGGCACATGAAAGATAGAGCCAGGGCCATCTTAGGCATATCTATTGCCATGGTGCAAAGCTCCCTCCCCCCCCCCATTTCCCAGAGTTGTCAACCTCTTTTAGGGAGGACGGCGCTGCTGGCGGGGCTGAAGGAGGCGTGCAGCGGCTGGAGGGCAGCTCCTCCAGCAGGGAAGAAGCCGAGGCTGGATGTGGAACCTCCCAGCTCAGCTGGCTGCTTTGCGCCGCGGTGGCCATGGCAGATGGAGGCTCTGGGCACGGCGCTGCTTCGGCGCGGCATGGCGGAGGCGGGCGAGGGTGGTGAGCTGATGCTGGGAGGTGCTGCGTCCAGCCTCCGCCTCTTCCCTGGCACCCTCCAGAACTTGGCGCCCTGGCGCCAAGCGCCACTAGTCTCTATGAGTAAGATGCCCCTGGATAGAGCAAGCTTGTTTTATCTTGCTCCACAGGGTAGAATTGACTAAAAATCAGGAATAATTTTCCACCAGTCAGAACTGTTCAACAGTGGAACGAATGGTCTTCCTCTGGAGGGGGTAGACTCTCCTTCATTGTATATTTTAAGCAGAGTTTGGATAACCATCTGTCATGGGTGCTTTAGCTGAGATTCCTGCATTGCAGGGGGTTGGACTAGATGACCCTTGGGGTACCCTCCAACTTCTGGATTCTGGAACATAAGAAGTGCCTGCTGGACAAGGCCAATGAACCACCAAGTCCATCATTCAGTTCTCACAATGGCTTCCCAGATATTTTTGGGAAGCTGAGCACATGAGCACTTTTCCCTTCTGTGTTTTCAGCAACATGTATTCAGAGGCATAACACCTCCAACTCCTGGAGACAGAGCATAGTCATTCTTGCCAGTAGCCACTGAATGTGCATTGAGTACAAGATTGGATTTGGTCTTTGATTTGGCATTTTGGAGAACAGCCTGCCTCAGTCATAGGTGCTTCTTAAGCTGTTCCTCCCCCATCGCCTTCAGTACTGGGGAAGGAAAAAACAAACAATTTCCATCCTTATAATAGGAATAGATAAAATGTGCAGTCATAATAACTGTTCTGGAATGGATAAATCCTAGCAAATTATAGGCAAATATTTTGAAAGGCATTTGAATTAGAGAACTCCAAAAAAAGGGAACAGTCTCTTTTTTATATTTGACCAGAATTGGACAAACTTTGCAGGCGTGGTTGTCCCTTTTGCTGCCTAATTTCAGATGGATAGCTGCAGCTGTTTTTCTACAAGGGCAGCCATAAGAAATAATGATAATAATATTTTTTTATTTATACCCCACCCGTCTGGCTGGGTTTCCCAAGCCATTCTGGGCAGCTTCCAACAAATTAAAACATCAAACAGAGTAAAACATCAAACATAAAAAAGCTTCCAGATGCCTTGCTGATGTCTTCTAAAAGTTGTGTAGTTCTTTATCTCCTTGACATCTGATGGAAGGATGTTCCACAGGGAGGGCACCACTATCAAGAAGGCCCTTCTGCCTGGTTCCCTGTAACCTCACCTCTTGCAGTAAGGGAACTGCCAGAAGGCCCTCAGAGCTTTACCTCAGTGTCTGGGCTGAACAATGGACAGAAGTGGATGAAATTTTCAGTCATGGTAGGCCATTCAATGCTGGTAAAATCTGTCAAATTATGGCTAAATGGTTCTTTGGGCATAACCTTTTTATTTTGAGGCAGGAGTGGATGGAATCTGAAGGCAATGCTGCCCCTTAGTAGAGAATGAGTCTTGCCACATTTCACAATGACAGCTATAGTAGTTTTCCCACAGAAGTAGACATTACAATTTTGGGATAATAAAAAAAACGAGCCACTTAATCTTCCAGAATGATTTGTGAGCAATTGGTCTGAAAATTGCAGGAATAAAAGAAGTGTTCCTTAGTAAGAAAGCTGCCAAAATTTAAAATTCAGGGGCAACCAAGAAGTAACTATAAACCTAGAGAGATCTCCATAAGAGATGGTTGCAAAACATTTACTCAGCAGAACTGAGACTGTTCAAAATCTGCAAGTCTTGCCTAGTCTGCTCCAGAAGTCACACCTTCTTGAATACTCCAACCCAGAAAATACTGCCAAGATTCTAGCGCCCCCTAATCCACTGGTGCCTCTTGATCTGTTAACCAGGTTCTACAGTTATGATCTTGGAAAACTGAAGAATGGACGGGGAGCTTGCCATCCTCTAGATGTTGAACAGCTAGTCCCATTAACCCAACCAGCACAGCCAATGATCAGGGACGAGTTGCTGTTCACAAGTTTCCCCACCCTTGGTGGATAAAAGGGGTACTGTACAAAATGTCATCACACCTGGGAGAGTTTTGCTGAACCATATTCAGGAAATCTCTCCTTTATGCATTGAATACACAACCAAAGAGGATACAGTAATACTACAGAAATCCAAACACCCACAGAGCCATGAGTTTATCTGTTTAGTGATGGTTTCTAATAGGATAAACTAAACAGGGTCAGCATGTAAAATACAGTTACTTTGGAGATCAATGGGGGGGTAGAGTGGAAGGGGAATGAGAGTGTAATCTGCAATGGTTTTTCACCTCCGGGGTCCTGAAAGCAGCTAAACTATATTTGCTTATTTAGCTGATACAATTTTTTTTATATAAGTATCTTAAATAAATGGGGGGAAATGCATTCATCTCGTAAACCCCAGCCAGAGAAAATGTTGCCTCTAGCAAGACTTTGGGGGGAGAGAAATATAAATCCCAAATCACAACAGTGGTTTGAAATGCAAACAGAGCTGCTGGCTATCAGATCCTTTTGACACAACTGTGGCTTTTGGTTAGCTCTGGGTTCCTCCCCAAGGCATCTCTCAGACATCGTGTTTACCACTTTGTAGAAGCTGTGAGTAAACCACCCCCTGGTGTTTCAACGATATCATCCATTTATTTGCAGCTGTCGTTCAGATGCCACTTTAATTTGATGAAAGTCATCACGGTGGTTTGGCTAATTTGATCCGCACACAGCTTCACAAACCACATCCTGAAACATACCCGGTGCCTGCATGAAAAAGCCTCCTCCCCAAGACCAACATTAAGAAAAGAGAGAGAAAGTGGTTAAAGCACTGTTTGACATCTCAATGACTACTTGGAAGAATAAATAGGGTCCCGTGATTAATAGACCTACATGTACACACAAATCGATAGCATGGGTCTGATAGACACATGGGGAAATGTGCTGTCTTCAGCTGAACTGTCACTTCAAGCAGGTGTTGCTAACTTAACATATTTATTAAATAGGGTTTTATACAGCTTTCCAACAGTGCTCCGAGCACAGGCCTGCAGCAAGATTTCTCTTACATCAAGAAAAGAGAGGGAATATCTGGGTGTTGGGGCAGTGAGCAATTAATTCATTGGAAGACAGCACAGGGAAGCCTTGCAGATACATTTGAATGGGAACCCCACAGTGTAAAAACGAAGGAAAGCTGGGCTTTCTACCCAAAACCAAGAAAGCTGTCTTATACAGAGGGCTTATCCACACTTTTGCCCTGCTCTTTCCAGGCACAGCCCTGAATTTTAAGCTAAGTTGTTTAAGCTAAGTGTGGATAAGCCCTGAGTCAGACCATTGGTCTATGCAACACACAATTATTTGCACTGAACGGCAGCAGCTATTCAGGTTTACAGCCAAGAGTTAGTTCAAACCCTACCTAGATATGCCAGGTTCCTCTGCATGAAAAACAGGTACTCTGCCACTAAGCCACAGCTATTCTAATCTTTGCTTCTGTCCTCATAT